AGCCCAGGGTGTGATCCTGGAGACCCAGGACTGAGTCCCACGCCGGGCTCCCTGCATGGAGCCTGTTTCTCCCTCTGCCTGAGTTTGTGCTTCTCTTTCTCTGTGTCTCTCATGAATAAATATCTTAAAAAAGAAAAAAAATTGTCTTTGGCTTTCCTATTTATTTCTTTCTCAATTATTAAATCATTTGTAATAGCATGGGCTCATGAATATTAATTTTATACTTCAGTTATGATCAAATGGTACCTTATACTGTTGCTTAAATTTTTTCATTTTTTGGCCATTGGGAGGTTTTTCAGGTTAGCTGGTGCAGGTGCTGTAAATGCCCCAATCTTTATATTTTTTTTAGCACTTTCTTACTTTCTGGCATTGTAAGATACTCTGAGCTTACCTTGTATTTCCTTTGTTCCAACCTTAAAATCAGTCATTTCTCCAAGGATCTGTAGTTCCTTTTACCAATAAATAGTATTTAGAAATCAGTATCTGGTACTGGGTCTGTGCCCTCTTTGTGGGATTTCATTGTTTGTAGGTTCTTCTTTTTTAAAAATATTTTATTTATTTATTCATGAGACAGAGAGAGAGAGAGAGAGAGAGAGAGAAAGAGAGAGAGAGAGAGAGGCAGAGACACAGGCAGAGGGAGAAGCAGGCCCCATGCGGGGTGCCCTACGTGGGACTCCATCCCGAGTCTCTAGGATCACACCCTGGGCTGAAGGCAACGCTAAACCGCTGAGCCACCGGGGCTGCTCCATTGTTTGTAGGTTCTTAAGTGGACAGAGCTCCATGATATGCTAATTCAGGTATATGCACATATGAATATTTATGTATCGAACTATCTGTATATATACTAAGCTAAACATGAGCACACACTGATGTCTGTGACTCTGCTCTCATGGCTAGGATTCACTTATACCTTCCCTTACTGCTTATCTGTAAGTGTGCCTCTGAAAGTGTGGAATTTGTTTTCTACCAGACACCATTTACATATTTGTTGAAACCTAATCTGGTGTCAATACCACATTCTCCTGAATATAGCTTATATAATAAATCTGAAATTAGGTAATGTGTACTTCCCAACATTATTCTTTTTCTTCCAAAATTAGTTTGGCTATTTTATTTCCTTTTCATTTCCATGTGAACTTTAGAATCAGTTTGTCAACTTCTACAAAAAATGTTGCTAGTATTTTTACTAGGATTGTGTTGAGTTTAGATTAAATTGGAGAAAATTGACATTTTACTATCTTGAGTCTTTTAATTCATCATCACTCTCTTAAAATTGCATTTGAACAGTGTATATCTCTTCAGTTTCTTTCTCATTTCTTAAAATGCATAGTAGAGATCAGGTATAGTGTAATTGTAATAAATTACACAGTTGTGATTCAAAGTAAAATTTTCCCTTATCTTTTCTAATTCTCTTCCTTTCCAGATCCATCGCATACTTTCAGGTCACAGATGGAGAAAATCCACTCAGTGGCACATTCTAGAATCCCAACCACTACGTTTAGTTGAAAATATGTAGCACATACAAATTTTGTATTGCATATCAGGTTTTAGGTCTAGTTGATACACATTGCACAGATGCTTGTTTTGTAGGCATTACAAGGGAAAAAATATTTTTAAAAGTTGTATTCTCCAGAGTTAGTTGCAGTTTTCCTTTTGAGTCAGAATTTCACCAGTCTGCATCTTAATAATAAATTATATATCTGGAGATTTGTATGTATAAATCCTTTAAGAATACAAAATGAGAGAAGAACAATAGCTAGGAAATGTAGCCTATTAATTAGATATTTGAGAATAATGTTCTAAGCAGTGAAACTTGACTAAGAGTAATATCAAAAATATGTTCAAAGTAGTTTTGATATGTGTGTGTAATATGAATAGGAGGAATAGCAACTCTAGTGTGTCTAGTGTGTTACATGTAACCTCAATGATATTTGTTTGTAGTATTTGTTTAACAAATCATACTTTTTAAGTTTTAATGAAACCAACAAAAAAGGATATGTTATATCTATATAATTTTAAGATTAAATTTACTGTGAAAATTTAAATAATAAGTGGAACAAATCCATAGACACTTTGTAATTTGTATTATATTATATTTATATAATACATTATAATGCTTTGTAGAAATAGAAAAAATCAGAATTATTGTATATTTTAATATACACAAACCTAGTTATCATCTTATTTTGTATATTTTGTGAATTAAACTTTGCAGGGTATTTCAGAGAATGATTTACCAAAGTAATTTAGTTTCTTCTCTCCAGAAAGAGGAATCCACAAATTGCTTTGAATTTGTTTTCACCAGAAATATAATTCTGAAACTGAAAGCTCATGTATATTTCTTTACCAAAATGACTTTATGTTCTACTATTTTTCTCTTCAAAACATTGATGTACTACTTTATTAAAGGCACTGTCTTCTTATGGTTTCACAGGCGAAAATAGGTAAAATCTTTTTATCGGGTAAAATCTTTTAATTTTGGAAAGCTGAATTATTTGTCTCATACTTTAACCCAGTAGAAGCAAACCAAAAATATAATAGTCAAAATATCTAATTAGATGTTTAATTATTTTGCTGATAAAGCAAAGAAAAAATTAGCCTTCGATGCTCAAACATTTTAGTTATTTTTATAGTACAATAATTTCAAACATAGCCTTGACGTGTTTTTATCTAACTCATTCAAAGTTAAAGGATTGAGCTGCCTTTTTCTGGTCATTCTACAAAAAAGTCAGTGAAATTAGCCTAAGCATATTAATTTCACATATTTTTTTTTGTAAAATTTTTATTTACTTATGATAGTCACACACACAGAGAGAGAGAGAGAGAGAGAGGGAGGGAGGCAGAGAGATAGCAGAGGGAGAAGCAGGCTCCATGCACCGGGAGCCCGACGTGGGATTCGATCCCGGGTCTCCAGGATCACACCCTGGGCCAAAGGCAGGTGCTAATCCGCTGCGCCACCCAGGGATCCCTATTTTTTATACTTACTGTTATTAAATATGTATTAAGTGCTTTAAAAAGAGAGCATACACATGCAAACTAAGAGTGCATTTGTAATTTATTAAAGTAGATTTGAAATGGAGCATTGTCTTGAAATGCATTCAACTTCAAAGTTTTAAATGGGTAAAGGAGATTAAGTTGAATTGACTTTAATACTGTATAAAAGTGGCTATTTAACAGAGGAATCATTTCTTCTGATAACTCCTTTTCTATCTTGAAAATTTGTTTTGTTCTACATGGGAGCTAGTAATCATTTGAATGCAATTGAATTATCTCTGTATTGGTGGTCTGAGAATCTGGTTATTGTGATTTCATCTCTTCTTTCTCTAAGTCCATCACTCCTCTTGATTTTCCATCTCCAAGGATATGTTCTATGAATTGGTCTATAATTCACCTCTCTTCCTTTTGTTTGTGTTTTTTAGACCTCTGTAAAATATGCCTGCCAGTTAACTAATTTACAAAACAGAATCCTTTTTTCATGGTACAATCAAGATGTAGATGGCAATCTAAGTGAGACACATTGGTTGATCACAGGAGGGTGTTAATATAGAACTACTCTTAGCTATGGTAACATCTAAGACAAAGCAAGTTTGAAGCCATTTTCCCCTTTGTTTACTTTGTAAAGTGGTGGAGGTTATAGAATTGTGTGATGTTAGCTTCTCAATAAAATCTAAACTTAAATAGTAATTTGTTTAAAATCTAGGATAATGTAGTAATAAAATATTACAAGGAGAAAAGATTATTCTATATATACAAAAGAAAAAAAGTAACATTTGTTTGATATTTATTAATTTATTTTAAATAATTTCAGTTAAACTATCCTTAGATATTAACTTTTAGTATTAAAACCCTTGGGGGAAAAAAACACCCTTCTCTGGTATATTCATAGGAGAATTTGACTAGCTTCCTAGGTCACTTTATGGACAATGGAAAATTATATCTTATTTTCTTAATAATGACATTAAATAAAACCTATAGGCCAAATGTCCTTTTATTATGTCAATACGTAAAATATCTAATAAAGTGTGATGTGAAACATTGAATATGCTTTTATCTCTTTCCTATGTATTTTTCTTCCTTGAATGCAAACTTTCTGTTTTGGAATTAACCCCAGTTATGTTTCATAGACTAAAGTTCTCTGTGGTAAAACATGAATAAGTCAGGGGATCTCTGGGTGGCTCAGCGGTTTAGTGCCTGCCTTTGGCCCAGGGCATGATCCTGGAGTCCCGGGATCGAGTTGCACATCAGGCTCCCTACATGGAGCTTGCTTCTCCCTCTGCCTGTGTCTTTGCCTCCATCTCTCTCTCTCTCTCTCTCTCTCTCTCTCTCTCTGTCTCTGTCTCTCATGAATAAACAAATAAAATCTTTTAAAAAAAACATGAATAAGTGATTAAAAGATAATCGTCAGGTACAAAAATACTAATAGAACATTGGCATCAGGATTGTTGCCAGGAAGGGAGCTTGACCTTGGGCGAGGTACTTTTCAGAGGTGGCCATTTCCTGAAAGAGTGACACCATGTGCATCCACCTTTCAGATTACTTTGCAGCTTCTTGAATAATCTCCAGTCCTGAAAGGGAGAAGAGAGCCAGATGGTGCAGTACAAAAATCTATGGCAGAAAGCAAGCCTATTCCTTCTGTGACCTTAGGAAAAGGTCAACCTTTTGCTAAATTTTATGGTTAAATGTTTAAAGTGAAAAAAGCTGTTTCCCCAAGAATCTGAAAATCTAGGAGAAAAAAACAATTAGAAATCAGATAATCATAGGTAATGTAATGAGTTTCATTATCTATATTTATCCACATCATAAAATGCAGTACTTTCACATAAAGGCTTACATTAATTTAATGTGCTCTGAATTTCCTTCTAGATTTCATCTTCTATAGATCATTATCATAGGGATTGGATTGCCACATGTAATAGCTGGAAATTCTTGTGCTCGGCATTTTTATTAACTGAATTTTGAGAAAAATATGCACAGAATCTTCCCTGGGTTTTCAATTTTAGACAGAGAAATCACTGATGGTGTAACTGAAGTGAATGAGTTTGCTCCTTGGTGAGTCATAAGTATAGACTAAACCAGGTGGGAGTGGCTCACAAAGGAATCTATTTGCAGCAAATAAGATCACAGGGAATACCTTCCAAAACTGTGACTCCCCAAGTGTGAGTGAGTGGGTTACTTTTAAAATAAAGAGTTAGGATGAATATTGAGGGAAGGGAGTTTTGTCATTGCATATTAAGGCTGGCATAGGGTTGCCCAGGTGTACGTAGAAAACATGCCTACACATGCATCCTATATTGTGTTAATGAAGCTTGTGCTCTTCTTTGGGTAGAACTTCTAACATAATGAGGTAAAAGTAATTGTTGACACTACATGGTCTATCTACGTAGCTGTCAGTTAGTGGTCAAGCTCAAACTGGTTTAAGCCAGCTAGAGCTCTTCTTGTTGTTTGTCTCTAAAAGATAAGGTTGAGTCTTGTGAAGAAAAGGGGTTAGTGAGCATCTTGCCGGTGACGCTTTTAACCTCATTAACCCTATGGGTAGGTTTCAGTGGTAAGAGAGGGTGGAGATTAGGAAGTAGGCAAGAGAAACAGCTTAATATGTATTCCAAAATGACATCTTTTGTAAAGCATAAATCATTTAATTGTATGTGTTCAGAAGCAACAGATTCTGTTAAAGAAAGTATTTCAAAATTCGTCCTGTCCTTAATTTCTTCATTTTTTTTTGTTTCCAATCTGTTCTTGGTCATTTATACATTCCTAAGCTATATATGAAGCATTTGTTGTATTTTATTGAGCATGATAGAAAGAAAATATGAATTAGAAGACAGACAAATATAAAATTTCTGACCCAGTAGAATTTTAGGTATCACTAATAGATAATATAGTAGATTTTTCTGGAACAATAAGGCACCAGTCACAGCATGGGGAGGCTCTCCTCTGGAGGATGGAAGCAAATTTTTGCTGTGATGGATCCTTTAAGATTTTGAATCCCAGCTGCACCCTGGGATTAAATACAGACTTGTGGTGTGGGGCATGCCAAAGGCCTGGGCACAAAGTGAGGATAGGGATCTGATGAAAGCCTGAGACACAAGAAGGAAGACTGTTTGTTTTTCTGTGAGAACTTCTAAGTGACAGTGGGCCTTAGTTCCCTTCTCTGGGGTTGAGAGAGAGCAGGGTGATGCCATGCTCTTCCCCTCTGCCTTCCTCTCCAGCCCATGGCTTCAGTTAGCAACACAGGGCCCCTAGTAGAGGCTGGAGATGCTTACACCAAACCCCAACACCCTGTACTCTGCAGGCACATCTTTTTAAAAAATACTTATCTATTTATTATTTGTTTTGCATGAGTATGTTCATTTTTTAAAATATTGTATTTAAATTCAATTTGCCAATAAATAGTATAACACCCAGTGCTCATCTTACCACTGGCCCTCCTTGGTACCCTCCCCCAGTTACCCTAACCCTCCACCCTCCTCCCCTTCTGCAACCCTTTGTTTGTTTCCCAGAGTTAGGAGTCTCTCATGGTTTGTCTTCCTCTCTAATTTTTCCCAATCAGTTTCCCTCCTTTCCCTTATGGTCCCTTTCATTATTTCTTATATGCCATGTATGAGTGAAACTATATGATGATGGTCCTTCTCTGATTGACCTATTTCACTCAGCATAATACCCTCCAGTTCCACCCACATCAAAGCAAATGGTGGGTATTCATCCTTTCTGATGGCTGAGTAATATTCCATTGTGTGTGTGTATATCACATATATATATCACATATATATCATATATATATCACATATATATCACATATATAGATATATGTATATCACATCTTCTTTATCCATTAATCTGTCAGAGGACATCATGGCTCCTTCCACAATTTGTCTATTGTGGACATTGCTGCTATAAATAAACATTAGGGCAGGCACATCTTTACTAGGGCAGATCTGACTGTGAACCAGTGTAGTGATCCTCTCTCCCAGAAGACAGCATAGGCCCCTCACACGCACCAAGTGTACTGATCATAGAATGTTCCAAAGCATCAGTTTCCTGGTGGAACTAGAACCAGACTTTCTCTCTCTTTTTTTCCGTCCTTTGGAATCAGGCTTATAATTATTTGTTTGTTTGCTTTGTGAAAACTTTCATTTTCTCTTTCTTTGGATCAGTTTTTTTTTAAATTTGTTTTGTTTTGTTTTTGGTTGGGGTTATTTTAATAAATAAAACAAAGCACACCTGGTTGGGGTTATTTTAATAAACAAATCAAAGCACACATGGTTTAATAAACAAATCAAAGCACACCTGTAAAGGTGCAAACACTCCCCACTACAAGCAAGGAAGAACTGTATGAGGACTGACCTGTGAGAAAGAGCAGCCAAAACACAACAGCAGAGTATACACAGAATATACCAGAAACACTTCCTGAAGCAACAGACCCTGGATAGTGCATGACACCTTCTTAATGTAACATTACTCTCAGGAGCAGGAAACATAGCATAATAAGCTTTCATAACATGCAAAAGACAAAAACCTAGACAAAATGACAAGACGGAGGCATTCTCCCCAAAAGAAATATCAAGAAGAAATCACAACCAGGGATTTTCTCAAAACAAATATAAACAATAAATGTGAACAAGAATTTAGAACAACAGTCTTTAAGAATCCTAGCTGGGCTTGAAAAAAGCATTGAAAACACAAGAAAAATCCCTTGCTGCAGAGATAAAAGACCTAAAATCTAGTCAGGCCGAAATAAGAAATTTCATAACAGAGATGCAAAATTGACTGGATATAATCACAGCAAGGATGGAACAAGCAGAGGAATGAATAGAATGAATAGGTTATATAGAAAGATAAAATTACGGAAAATAGAGAAACTAAAAAGAAGAGGGAAAGAAGACTGTTAGATCATGAGTATAGACTTAAGGAAATTAGTGATTCCATGAAATGCAATAAAACCAAATCATAGGAGTCCCAGAAAGAGAAAGAGTGAGAAAAATGGGAGAAGATTTATTTGAACAAATTATAGCTGAGAACTTCTGTAATTGGGGAAGGAAATAGGCATTCAAGTTCAGGAGACACAGAGAACTCCCAGAAAAATCAACAAAGATAGGTCAAAATCATGACATATCATAGTATAACTTGAAACATACAAAGATAAAAATAATTCTGAAAGCATCTAGGGGCAAACTGTCAATCTACAAGGGTAGATGCATAAGATTAGCACAGACTTGTCCAGAGAAATTTGGCAGGCTAGAAGAGAGTGACTTGATATATTCAGTGTGCTATATGGAAACAAATATGCAGCCAAGAATACTTTATCCAGCAAGGTTGTCCTTCAGAAGATAAAGAGTTGAGATAGAGTTTCCAAGACAAGCAAAAAACTAAAGGAGTTCATAAACACTAAACCACCTCTGTAAGAAAAATTAAAGTGGACCCTTGAGCAGGAAAGAGACCAAAAGCAACAAAGACTAGTAAGGAACAGAGACAGTCTGCAGGAACAGTGACTTTACTGGTAATAAAATGGCACTAAATTCATATTCTTCAATAATTACTCTGAATGAAAATGGACTAAATGCTCCAAACAAATGACATAGAGTATCAGAATAGATTGGAAATAAAAAGACCCATCAATATATGGGTCTCATATGAGTCATATGAGACTCATTTTAGACCCAAAGACACCTCTGGGTTGAAAGTGAGGGGATGGAAAACCATTTATCATGCTAAAGGACATCAAAAGAAAACCAGAATAGCCATATGTATATCAAACTAGATTTTAAGCCAAAGACTATAAGAATTGAAGAAGGACACTATATGATAATAAAATAGTCTATCCCACAAGAAGATCTAAAGTTGTAAATATTTATGTCTCCAGCTCGCAAGCACCCAAATATATAAAACAATGACAAACTTAAAGAAACTTATTGATAATAATACAAAAATACTAAGAGGACTTTAACACCCCACTTACAGCAATGGATAGATTATCTAAGCAGAAGATCAACAAGGAAAGAATGGCTTTGAATAACACACTGGGCCAGATGGACTTAACAGATATATTCATAACATTTCATTCTAAAGCAGCAGAATACACATTCTTTTTGAATGCACATGGAATATTCTCCAAAATAGAATATATACTGGGTCACAAATCAGCCCTCAGCAAATACCAAAAGACTGAGATCATATCATACCTATTTTCAGACCACAGTGCTATGAAACTAGAGCTCAACCGCAAGAAAAAATTTGGAAATACACAGATGTATGGAGGTCAAAGAATATACTACTAGGAAATGAATGAGTTAACCATGAAATTAAAGAAGAAAGAAAAAATTACATGGAAGCAAATGAAAGTGAAAATATCATAGTCCAAAATATTTGGGATGCAGCAAAGACAGACATAAGAGGGAGGTATATAGCAACACAGGTCTTCCTAGAAAAGCAAGAAAAGTCTCAAGTATACACCCTAACCTTATACATAAAGGAGCTGGAAAAAGAACATCAAAATAAAGCCGACAGCCAAGAGAGGAAGGGAAATAGTTAAGATTAGAGCAGAAGTCAATGATATAAAAATAAAAAGGAACCAGTAGAACAGATCAATGAAACTAGGAGCTGATTCTTTGAAAGAATTAACTAAATTGATAAACTTCTAGCTAGATTTATCAGAAAAAAAAAGAAAGGACCTAAATAAATGGAATCATAAATGAAAGAGGAGAGATCACAACCAACACTGAAGAACTACAATTATAAGAAACTATTATGATCAATTATATGCCAACAAATTGGACAATCTGGAAGAAATGGATAAATTTCTAGGAACATATAAACTACCAAAACTGAAACAGGAAGAAAAAGAAAATTTGGGCAGACCCATGACCAACAAGGAAATAGAATCAGTAATTAAAACTCTCCAACAAATAAGAGTCCAAGCCCAGGTGCCATCCCAGGGGAATTCTGCTGAACATTTAAAGAACAATTAATGCCTATTATGGAACTGTTCCAAAAAGAACTAGGAACAGAAGGAAAACTTCCATACTCATTCTATGAAGCCAGAATTACCTTGATTC